TGTGTGCTGTGGGACGTGTGGGCACACAGGAATGCACCTCAGAGAGCAGCACACACACTGTGGGGCAGCGCTCACAGCACACAGGAATGCACCTCAGAGAGCAGCACACACCGTGGGGCAGCACTCACAGCACGCAGGAATGCACCTCAGAGAGCATGGAGGTACATCCACAGTACGTGCTGGACAACACTGTACGTGCTGGACAACAGCATGAACTGCCTGAGCAGGACTGCTTTGCTGAGCATCACCATTGCAGCACATCTCACCAGCCACGCAGGCTTGGGGAACATTTGGATGGGAGACACGTAAGGAAAATCACATTTCCTGTGCAGATCAGATCTAAGTGCATATTTACACAAAGCATAACCCCAAGGTTAATGAAGCTGACCTGTGAGGGAGAATCAAGCACGTGCACACAAAGCGAGCTCTCCTCTGCAAGGAGTGGGGGAAGGCAACTCCATCTCTGCAGCTGGATCCAGTGATGCTGGATTCACATTGCACCTGCTAAAAAAACCCTGCCCATGGGTTGCAAATTCTTTGCTGGCTTCAAAGAATCCCTTGGATCCCCAGGCCCACCATGAAATACTTGGGAGGACAGAAATCCCTCCCAGAAACAGACAGAATATTTCCCAGGGATTCAGAGGCTTCCATTTATGTTTTTGTGTGCCATGGATATATTAAAAATCAGCCCATCCCAAACAGGCATTTTCTAAGATGTTTTTAAACAGAAGATTATTAAAGTTCCTGGCTGATGTTCAGATCACACAGCTGGCTGTAAAGTGAAGATGAAAGCAATAAAAACAGATTGTCTATATGTGAAACACTCCTCACTTGCTCCAATGTACAGATACTGTTATTGATCAGAAGATGGCAAGTGTCTCTGGGGAGGATACTCTGTAGACATATATAGGAGGATACTCTGTAGACATATATAGGTAGTGCTGGTATAGAGGATTACAACCCAAAAAGCAAATACCACAATTGTCACAGTGCATCTGTACCCTGTTATATCTATACAGCATCCATTATGTGCAATAACTGGTACATACTGTGGTTGGAATGGATCAAAATACACTGCTCTTTTCCACAGAGAATCTTGAGATGCAATTTTTCTCTGAAACTTTTCAGATGGGCTTTTACAAAGCACATCCCTCAAATGCTTTGCTGTAGGTGGGCTCAATCCACCCCTGCCAAGCAAAATGCAGACTCACCTCTGAACTCAGCTCTTCACAGCCTGCTGTCTTCTCCACAGCTGATCAGAGTCAGACTGGGGTTTGTTGTCATCACCAGCTGCTGGGGAAGAGGTGCCCCTCTAAAGTCACTGCCCACATCCTTAATTCAGCAGCCAGTCATACACATGTACCTGCCTGCCTGGGAAAGGTGCCTGGAAATAAGCAGGTGTCTCAAGGATGATCAGGCATGGTTAGCAGGGCTCTGGGATTTAACCAGTTTAGGAGCTCTGCCACACTTGGTGGGTCTTGAAGCAACTTTTCTGTAACAGAGGTTAAAAGAGGTTAAAGAGCTAATGAGTGCAGCAGAGGTTAAAAGCTGGATGAGGAGTTGTTTTCTATCTTAAGCCATACAATCCATGAGCTGAGAATGTTCTTAGGTATGTAGGGCAAGATCATATTTTATACAGCACCCATACTCCAGCCTTGGGATCTTACAGTGTGGCACAGTTATCAATGAATGTTTTGAAAACAAGAATCCTGTCTTCCTAATCCTTCCTCTTCATTAAGGTAGGGTGTCCCAAACAATATCAAGTTCATTACAAACAAACAAACAAACAAGAAACAACACAGGGAACAGAAGGATCTTCTTCCACAGGAGTGTAGGACCAAGGCTGTGGCAGTAAAAACACTTAGAGTGATATATACTCATCCTGATATTCTATGTACACCTTTCTATTCCCTCCCATTATGGAAGGCTTGACTTTGACATTTTCTTTATCTTGTGGATTAATCCCAGCCAGCAACTAAGTAGCTTGCAGCTGCTCCCTCTCTTCCCCTTCCACCCTTGGTGGAATAGGGATGAGACCAGAAAAAGGTAAAACTTGTGGGTTGAGATAAGAATTGTTTAATAAAAATGACAGCAACAATAATAATAATAATAATAAATATGAAAATGAGGGAAAGATGCACAATGCAATTGTTCACCACTTACTGACCAATGCCCAGCCCATGCCCAGCAGCCCCCAGCCAACTCCCCCCAGTTTATGCATGGAATATGAAGTGCTACGGCCTGGAATATCCCTTTGGCCAGTTCAGATCAGCTGTCCTGGCCACACTCCCTCCCAGCTTCTTGTGCCTCTCCTCACTGGCAGAGAATAGGACCCTTAATTAAGGGTAAGCACTACTTAGCAATAACTGAAACATCAGGGTGTTATCAACATTATTCTCATGCTAAATCCAAACCACAGCACTCTATGAGGCCACATGAAGCAGGGCAGAATGATCTTCCCTTTCTAAAAGGAAAGGAAAGAACCCATCTCCTGGGATCTGACCTCAGCCTTCAGTCTCAACTCACACCTTCTGTCATCCCTAGTGAAAAGGACAACCCATTCAGCAGCTCAGGACATGCAGCCAGGAAAGAAATGTGCAAGGCAAAAGCCAGAGCCCTATTTAAATAGCTTGTTCAAAGATAAAACCCCAGCCATCTGTCAACTCGCCCTAGAAGAGGCATGGCTATAATAATTAGCAGAGGGAAAGGCTGCAGAGATGCAAATGAAAAAAACCAGCAGTTTGCTAACATTTTACACAGGTCTGCCATGAATGCAGTGGGAAGAAAGAGAAAGAGTCAAAAAATACAAAAGGAGAAAGATCAGTGAATTTCTCCAGAGCAGACACCACTGGCAGTGTGGGACAGAAGCTTCCCGAGGGCTGCAGGTGCTTTGGGCTGGTGCAATTTGGCACTCAGCATCCCAAGAGCAGATGCTGCCACAGGGGATTGGCAGCAGCTGAGAGACCCCTCAGATCCCCAGGCTCTGCTTGGCAGAGGAGTCCCCACAGCTGGAAGGTGCTGCCAGGGATGCCTTGGGGTTATCCTGGCAGTGCCCACCGGGCTGGGTGCACATGGTCCCCAGGCAATGGCTGGGATGCTCTCAGAGGGGCTGGGCTGCCCACCTGGATAAATCCCATTTAAAGTGCTGGCTAATACAGACCTGCCCTCCATTCCCAAAGGAAGAGCCCTTTCTTTGAGAAAAAGCTTCTTTTCAGAGCTCAAAACATCTGGGAACCCCTGTAAATCCAGGTGCAACCTGACAGTGGTACCTACAGGGTGCTTGGGTGCACTCCCTGGTGCCAATGCGAGTTCCTGGTGGTGGGATATCCCCTGCACCCTGGTTTGCAGAGCCCCTGTACACCAACTCCCTTTCCCTGCAGAAACGCCTCTCCCACGGTCTGGAGCACCCCAGCGCCACCGAGCCTCGGCAGCTGCGGTGACCGGGCTGTGACAGCTGCTCTGCCACCGCCTCCCCCAGGAGCACCACGCTCAAGTTCCCCTCACAGAGCTGGAAAGCCGCTTTAAAATAAGAATCTTGGATTATAACTCCTAATCCCTTCATTTGCAGTAAGTGCAGAGAGGGAGCAGAGATGTCAGCTCTCTCTCTCCCCCCTGCAGGACCAAATGCGCTTCAAAATCACATCAAAGCCTTTGTGTCACATTTGTGTCACGGGCGGCTGCTTGGCCGGGACAGTGCGACGCCACCAGCAGGGCGGGGAGAGGCAAACGGGGATGTTGTCTCTCTTCATCCCCCTCCATCTCTTGCCCTCCTTCACACCTAGGAGTTATTTTTAAAGGCGTGTCTGGCATGTGCTGGAGGGGGATGCACAGAAAACAGGGTGGCAGGAGCACTCAGACAGCAGCAAACTGTGTCCAGAAGGAACACGGGCTCCCTGAGGATGGCAGAGAGCAGGGCAGGGAGCTGGCACTGCCTGTGTGCTGAGACAGGGGCACAGTGCCACCATGTCCTGCCCTGGTCACCCTGGGGCTGCTGTACCCCCAGGTCTGTGCCAGAGCTGCTGAGCAGTGGGCAGTGCTCTTTGGTTGATGGCAAGGGATGAGTTTACACCATAGAGCCTTTTATCTGGAAAGATAAAATAGAGCAGGTTTTTTCTGGATCTGGGTCAGCACAAAACTAGCAGTGCTTTTCTTTATGGGGTCAGTGCAGGGATATTTGTATTTTCCTGAACAGCATGATGCAATACAAACTGGCCAAGAGCCTTCTCCAAGCCACACAGCCTTCAAAGGGAGAAAAACATCCAGCTGTGCCACCATGCCCTGCTCTGCCAGTGGGCCCTGGGGCTGTGGGAGATGCAGGGATCAGGCAGCAGTGCCCCCCAGCACTGCCCCTGTGTTCTGCTGTGGGACTCTGAGCCTGCTCCCTATACCATCACAGCAGGGATTCAGACAAGCCCCTTCCTCATGAGTTGTTTTCTTCATCTGGGAGCAGAAATACCTCAACTGCCCAGGATAAATCCCTCCATGAGCTCTCTGCACAGGGCTGTGGGGGTGAGGGCTGCTTGTCCCCAGGAGCTGTGCTGGGGACACGTGCCACCCCATGAGGGCCCATGGCTGGTCCCTGGAGCTGCAGTGAATGCTGGTGCCACTCTCCTGGCAGCACAGTGGCATCATGCCAGGCTGTCAGGAGGCATCTCCATCACATCAGGGCTGTCAGGTATCAGCACGGGGAGCACTAACCTCTCCTGAGCTTCTCCAGACACAGACACTTCCCGGCTGATGGCATCACAGGGATGATGGGCACACACTTGTCAGGGCCTGTGGCAGCATTCCATCATCCAGGGCTGCAGTGGGGGTGTGGGATGCACCCCATCCATCCTTGCTGTGTTTTATGGGCACACCATGTGGCCTCCAGTAGACACCCAGAGCTGGGCACTGTGGTCTCAGCTGCTGAAGAAGGCAGGCGGTGCTTGGTGAGAGCTGTACCCTCAGTAAAGCCAAACCACAGTGGGTATATCCCAGCAGTGATGCAGACCCCTCCCCATCTGGCCATCACCACAAACCACAGCCAGGATCCTCCAGTCCTGAGAGAGGCCCCCTGGAAGAGTCAATGGATAAGGACAAAGTGTTCATCCAGAATGACACCAGCTTTAAAGGCACAACACAACTCCTCTCAGCACACCATTTAATAGAGCTGTGGAGAGACTACAAGCCGCACAGTGGCTGGCCAGCCAAAGCCTTCCAGTGCCACACAGCACCACATCCTGCCATGGACATGGCACAAGGGTTTTGTAACCAGCTGCCAGCTGCTGGAACACATCTGCTAGAACAGCAGCAGCAAGAGCTCCCCTCTCCCAGGGGAGAGGATCTCACCTGGGTCTCCAGGGGAAGCAGCCCTTGAGCAGCAGCAGAACAGTCCTGCCTTTCCCATGGCCCGTGTCACCCCCTGCTGCAGCAGAGGATGGGGGCAGGGGCATTTATTTTATATTTTGCAGGCCTCAGGAAAAAGAGGATTTCAGAGGGATTTGAACACAGGTCCCTAAATAGCTTCTTAGAATTAAGAGATTTCATAAAGGATTATTTCAAGCAGCTGCCTGTGGTGGGCAGGTGAGGGGACAGAGAAAAGGCAGGAGTGCTGTACATGAGCACAGGGGAGCACAATCCCCTTCTGAACTACAGCAGTGAGGAGAGGAGAGCAATCCACACCCTGGCCATGTATCCTCTCTTCTGGGTGAGTCAGAAGGAATGAGGAGCAGAGGGGTGGTCAGCAGATGTGGGGGGAACAGGACAGAAGCAGTTCCTGCAGTCAGTGAACAGATATGGCTGCTTTGACAGACCCACCCACAGTGGCATTTCAGAGGTGTGGGATCAGCTAAAGAGGGTCCATCAACACCCCTGACTTCTCACTAGATGAAAACCTGTGTGTGGAGGTGGGAAGGCTCTTCCAGCTAAGGATGGGATGAGTTTGAAATGCTGGAGAAGGGCATCAGTCCATCAGACAGGGCAAATTCCTACCTGCAAGGTTATGGGTGCCAGGCTTCACAGATCCAAATATTCATGGTGGAAATAACATAGTGCAAAACCAGGAAAGGTCACAAAACCTTTCAGAACAGGCACAGCTCCGTGCACACTGGTGGAATGTGGGCTGGAATGTCTTTCTAGTAATACCAGGAGATAATATTCCTTGGCACAGCATTTTCTGGTGCAAAGAGGAAGAGAAATACCTGGAACTTCATGATAATTTAGATATTGGGGTGGAAATTGGTTCTTAGGGACTGGATCCTGTGAAAATCTGGGCTCCTCTCTGGGATCCTGGGATCCAGCTTTCCAGCTTTCATGTGTTGAGCATGCACACAGTGAGAGGCTAAGCCACAGGCATGCAGGAAGGAGCTCTAGGGTGGAAGGAAAGCTCAGGAGAGAAACAGGGAAGAGAGGCTGGTGATAATAGAAAGAGATAAAAATGAGGAAAGAATAGAAAGGAGAAGAGAAAGGAGAGAGAGTTGCAATTTTACAGTAGTGGAACTAAGAAAGCAGGAGGAAGATAATCTTCTGAGGAAGATAAAGCTGAGGTAGATAATTTCCACTGGACAAATGATACCAGGGAAGGACTGAGGCAAGAGAACAAAAAGGAACAGGGTAGGAGAGAGCAGAGGAGAAGGTCACAAGCAGAAAATGGAGCAAATGGTTAAATCTCATCAAATATTGTTATTATGAGCAGCCCCTGCTGCCACATCTGGAACAATGTGTCACAGGCAAGGCCATAGGTCAGAGAGATGCTGGGCTAAAATTGTAGCAAACAGGAATTGGGGGTTTAGAGATTTCCTCCGCAACCAGGGAAAGAATTTTGGTTTCTGTGCCCTTCCTTCTCCACTCCCTTGGAGGAAACGTTTGAGCAGCTCTGCCAGTAACCAAGCTCTTTGGCCAAGAGACAAAAAAATTACCACTTACACTGATTTGTTCCTCCTCAGACCTGAGGTGTCCCAATGAAGTTTGAAGAAACAAAGTCTTCCATGGTTTTATGGCCTCACTCAAAAATTGAGGCCATTGCCCACTACCCACCTGTGCAACCCTCAGTCTGCATTTGAGGGAAGGGAGGTTAAGGGACCGGGATACACAGGCAAAAGCAGGTCTCTTGTAAGGGTAATTACTGCAAAGTTTTGAGCTTAAACATATTTTCTGTGCACAGATGTCCCCCTCTAAGGACATACATGTTTATAAAGAGTGGTTTCCTTAGTGCCCCAATTCATAAAAACAGGTGAAATTGGAATAGAAATGTTGAGCTAAGTGGCACAGACAAATTAAGGACAAGGAAAGATGACATGTCTGTAACTGGCTGAGATTAATAGTGATGAGCTATGATTGCAGGTTTCAGTGTTTGGCTTTTGGCTTTACAAGACTAAGCCTAAAAATACAGCATTTCCTCATGTCTATTTAACAGCTGCAATTTTTTTGACACAAACACTGCAACAATTACAGGTGGGACAGGGCGTGATCTCAGCCCAGGGTGTTGGAGACCACAAAACATGCACTTAATGCCCACAGCCATAACTGCTGAGAACCATGCACACAAATACAGACTGGTTACACTTCTGAAGCAACGTTAATCAAGACGCACTGATGAGTTGGCAGGGGATCCTCTCCCAAAGGGGTCTGAGCTCAGCTTTCACCAGAAAACTTCTTGGTCCACAGGCTGGAAGACTGGTGAGGTGTAGGTTGGCCCCATGCTCTGGTGAGTCACAGGGACAAGCAGCACAGGGCCAACCTGCAGCATTCTGAAGCTACTATTGGAGAGCAGAACAATTGTGCAAAGGCTCATCACGCATCTGTCACCTGCAGGGGGACCGCAGTGTGTCACTCTGAGGCCAGACTCATTGGCAGGAAAGATGGGTGGGATGTACCTTTTCTTGAATGATCATTTATGAGTTTGTTGATTCTGATCTAAAGCTGGGAGTGTCAGCAGGCCTGGCAATGCTGTGCCAGGGGAGGAGAGAGACTAATCAGCACTAAGTCACAGCATGTGTGCTCATCAAACACTCTGTGTACAAGGATGTCTCTGTGTGGAGTCACTGGCACAACTGGGAGTGTCACTGTCACACCTACACGTGGTGCTGTGACAGGCCACCTCCTTTCACACAGCTTTACCACCAAGAAATATGCTGCTGTTCTAGAATGGCTCTGAAACACTTCACAGCCTTCTCCAAGGTGTTGCACTCTTCCAGCACCATCTACAAGAGCTCTCAGCCCTCTGTGGTTTGTGTGTTGGGAGCTGGGATGTGCCAGTGACTGATCTGGCTGAACAAGGGAAGGCAGCACTGCTTCACAGGTGTGGTTTTAACATGGTGGTTACATCCTGACAACTGCCTCAGGAATTCCTGCATTCCACCAGCTGGGGTTTAGGAGTGGCCACTTCCTGAAAAAGCTGTAAACTGAACCACCCATGGGCACCATGCTCCATCTGATTGTTTCCCATCCCGGACACAGCCTGGGAGGGTGCTTGGCAGGAATTACCCTGTTTTATCCTGGGTGGAGATTTTCACAGTGCTGGAAAATCTCTTTATCACACAGCCTTGCCTCTGCATGAAGCTTGTTGTGGTCAGTGTGGGGGACTTGAACAGCCTGTAGCAAAGAGCCCTCCATTTACCCTTTTAGCTGCTTTTTAGGGACAGGGTGTGGCAACTGCACACAGCTACAGAGGGCAGGATGCTCCAGAAAAGAAAGGTTGACTGCTCCACTGGGCTCTGGCTCACAGTGCCAGCCCCAATGGATGCAGCAAACATGTCTGGAGACTGTGCAGGGATGAAACATGGCACTGTGAGCAGCACACACTGTCCCCAAGCCCTTCTCCAGGTGTGGGGTGATGTCCTGCAGCTACCAACTTCTCACTAGAATCCCTTGTTCTGCACTAGAGCCCTTTGCTCTGCACATCCCCTCCAGTTATGCATTTGCTGGTGTTTTATGCTCCGCCAGCCATCTGGGATTTGAACCTAGTGGTAGCAATCTCTCTGGGGTGAAACACAGCTGTGTGCTAGGGGATGCTCTGTGGAGCTTCACATGGAAAGGTGAGAAAAACAGAGAAGTGGATAACAACCAGTCTAAGCTCTCCAGAGACACCACCTCTCCTCAGGAGGAGGAAGATGTGGGCACCAGCTGCTCCTCCCTGGGGAGGGCCTGGACCAGGATGTGGCAGGATGAAGGTGGCCACCACACAATGCCCTGGACCAGGAGGTTGCAGGATGAAGGGGCCACCACACAATGCCCTGGTGGCAGCTGGTTCAGGGCCTTGGTCAGCCATGCCAGGAGGAAGAGCCATGAGCAGGTTCCTCCACCAGGTCCACCAGGACAAAGGAAAGCCACCGCAGAGCCAGGGACAGCCAGGTGTGCCAGAGGAGCTCGAGGGACAATGTGGAGCTTTGAGCAACTACAGGGCAGAGCGAGGAGCTGGGGCTTTCCTCCTACACGGCGGCGTCCGAGATCTTCCCGTTCAAGGATGTCTTGGGCTGGAGGCCGTTGTTGTGAGCGTGCCCCTCTGGCCTGGGCTGGGTCATCTGCTGCAAACGCTGCCCAGGAATGAAAGGAGAGACTGTGTCAGCCAGGGCTGGGTGGCAGCAGTGAGGGGTGGGATCCTCGCCACATGGCTCAGAGGTGACCCTGATTGCAGGGCAAGGGGGTGGTGCATGCAGTGACTCCTCCAGCAGCATTTGGTAGTACCCCAAAAGCCTCTGAGGCACCTTTGCTTGGATGCTGCACACAGCACAGCAGCTCCTCCTTTTATTTGAAACATCCTGATAAGAGGCAAACTGTTACCAGGCAAGACCAGCTGCCAGGAGGAAGGAGAGCTACAATGCCACAGGCTTCAGAGCAGACCTATTTTTCAATTAGGGTTGATTACAGAGCATTACTAAGTAACTACGGCAGGTTAACAAGGTTAGAGTCTGTGCCTTTGATGCTGATCAGAACATCCACCTGCACAAACCTTTGCACAGCAGTAATTCCTGCCGCCCTGAGCTGATCAAATGGAAATTGGAGAGTCAAATAAAGTGAAGCAAGAACCCATGAAAATATGGAGGGGCCAATCATTACTGGAGGCATGTGGATTGAGCATGAGGAGTGATGAAAAAGAATGAATCACTTTTGCCAGTCAGGGAGGGACTGGTGCTGTGCACTGCAGAAGAGAATGCAGAGGGGGATTAAGCCTGACCTGAACAGACATCACTGAGAGAAGGAGAACCTCTTTCCAGTAAAGGGGAACAAACTCCTACCCTCCAATACCACTGAAGTGCCTGCTTCTGGGTGAATTCCCTGAAATATTCACTGAACTGCTTCTGCCATTCATTGTACTTTTTTCCCCTCTAACATTCAGGCTCAGTAGGATCAAAATGACTTGTAATCTTTCCTGTCTGTCAAAACCACTTTATTCAGGATTGGCATCTAATTTCCCTCCAGCTCCAGCTCTATTACAAATTAATCCAGGATCTGTGTATATAAGAGGCCAAAAATTCTCTCTGTCTCTCTGATATTAACACATGCACACACAGATTAGCCTACTTCCTTCCTGCTGCCATCTGCTGCCCACTCCTAGGTCTATGAATGATTGAGAGGGGGTCTGGGTCTCGTGATGTTTGTGGAGAGTCAGACAGGGAGGGTGCACATCAGCCACTCATGCTGCTTACTGGTGCTGATAATTTGTACAAGATGCTGAGGGGAGGGGTGGAAACACACTCAAGACCTTCCCTCCAAGCTCCTGGGGCAGCACAGGAATGCACAGCACTTTGGAAGGATTGTGGATATAATTGGCACAAGCCTTTGGTCAGGAGGAGTCAAGGTCCCAGAGCAGTTTGGGCTCCCCCAGATGCTGCAGTGTGCCTTCCCCATCTCCAGTGAAACAGGACTGGGACTAGGCAAAGGCTTGAACCCATACCTGTACTTTCAGGCTTCCCTTCCCTCCTTTTCCAGCTTAAATGATGAGTGAATAAGGAGCCCTGTAAATGTCTGAGAAAGGGCCTACAGTTGGAATTCAGCTGGCCTTCAACCCAAAGTCAACAAAGTGGCTTGACATAATATCCGGGCTTGAGTGCTGCAGGAAGGACAAATACCTAAACCCAGCTTCAGATGAGAAACCAGAAATTGAAAGCAGATCTGAGATCCCTAACCCACCCAGTTCACCCACATCAGAGCCCATCCAAATGGAATGCTGGGAGGAAGAAAACTCAAATCTACCTGCAACTTCACCTCAAAGGTAGAGAACCTGAAGCTGACTTCAGCCCAGTAATTCCAGCCACAACTTCTTGGAGTCAAAGTTTGTTAAAAATACAGCATTCCTAAAATAAATTAATGTGATTTAGATGGCTTCTGGTTGCTGTTCCAGCTGGGCTGGGAAAGCCATAAATCAACACTCCTGGGGTGGTTTTTTACAACTGTAAGCACTGAGGCAGGGATTTGGGGCGCAGTGCTCTCTGAATGTCAACACTGTACATAAAATCTTAGCAGTAAGTACTGGGTATGACATGGAGACTCGTGATTCACTGCTTCAAAAAATCCTGCTCAAATTACTAAAGAAAATGTTTTAAACAGGACTAAGGTGGTGGGTATTGTAGGTCTTTCTTGCTTCCTAATGCCTTAGTCACTGAGTGTTCTCTGAAAGGCACATGAAAAAGCATCCCTGTGCTTGTTTCTGCTGCTAGCAGAGCCTAGCCTGAGACATTTCAGGATTCAGGCTTGGAGGTGCTGATTACCTGCTGAGGAGTGACAAGTAAAAATGCTCATAGCCAGGAATCCTCAGGAGCTGGGATTTCTCTGGGTCAAGAAACCTCAAGGATTTCTTCCCAAACTCTTCCCTGGCTCCAGTACCCCATGCCAAAGAGATACTCAAGAGATGTTCAGTGCACTGGGGCTGCTCTGAGCCCTCCCTCCCTCCTGGGGGAGATGGTGCACAGAGCTCCTGCAGCACCAACCTGGTGCACTCTGATCACTCTGTCAGAGCAGGACAAAGCTCTGCCTGGTCCAGGTTCAGTTCAGGGAGGAGCTCCCCCTGGGTAGAGGGAGGTGAAGCTGTTCCTACCTGCCGGAGGGTCCCTGTTGAGGTGAAGAAGGAGTAGAGCATGTACCCTGGAATCAGAAACATGGAGGACAGGGCCATGAGCCACCCGATGCCTTGGCCCCACACGGGATAGACGTATTTGCCCAGAGTCAGAGGGGTCATTTCCACCACACTAAAGAAGAACACACCCTAGAAAAGAACACCAGCCATTGCAGGGGAAGTGCAAAATCAGGGTCCCACCATTCCTTCCTTCATTACCTTCTTAGCTCCCAACATCTCTTTTCATTAGTCTGATTCTTTCAGCCCACTAACTGGGCATTTCATATCTCCTTATCCTAAGCTGGATAAGATATCCTAAGCTTTCCAAAAAGCTGGAATTGGAACACTCCATATTTCCTTCTTCCCTAGACTACTCAGACAAGCAGTGCCTCCACAGAGGTCCTATGCAAGTAAAGAGCATCCTCAAGCTGGTCTCAGGAGTCTTCATATCACACCACTCCCTGCACTGCTTCTGCCGGGAGGGCAGGAACCTGCAGAGGCCAAACTGCTCTGCAGCCAGTTATCCTGCATTTGGTGATGGCTTTTGTTCTCATAAGCCTGCCAGAGGCTGAAGCTGGAGTAGCTGAAAGCCAGAGCTGATAACAGCTTTTTAAAACATCACATTATTTTGCTTATCATCTCACATCTCAAAAAAGAAAAAAAGAACCGATGGCCTCATTTAGATTAAAAGCAATCATCTAGAACTTTTTATGGGTGATTTCCAGCAGGCAGAGTGAAAGAGGCTCTTCTATCACTTTACACATCTCCAGCCTGCCTGGGACCCCCTTGCACCAGACCTGCCCTGGGTTGAGAACAGAATGTTTCCCTACAGCCCATCTAGAGACCTTTCTAGACCCATTCCTGCACAGAGGATTCCCCGGGTCTTACCAGGCAGACAAGAGGAGTGAAGAAGGCCCAGCAGATCTTCCACCAGATGCAAGGCTTGTAGCCAATCATTTCTTCAATGTTCCTGTAAAACCTGTTAACACCTACAAGAAGAAATGAGTACTGAAAGAAAACCCCATCTCTGCACCACGGTCTTCATCTCTTCTCCTGGCAGAGCACAGGCCAGGCACAGCAAGAGGGTGACAGGGTGGCATGAGAAGAATTATCTGGAAGGGATGGAGTAGTGGGACACAAACTCATGCTAACAGCTTCCATGTTCCTGATGTCCTCTTGTGCTGAGGTTTTGTGAGGGCCTGGAGAAGTGAGATTACACCCTTCCACTCCTGATTTTCTGAAGTTATCAATCTAAGTAATTTTTGGCTGCAATATTGTCATTGTGTTCACTGGTTTTGGCTTTTTCAGTAAGTCACCAGGCCCACAGAGAAAACAAAGGAACAAGGTGTTTTGTGCTTACCATAACACCAAGAAATTGAGATGGTCTCAAAGAAGACAAGAAAAAGAAGACACATGCCACTGGCTGAGTAGTAATCAAACAGCTTGAAGACATAAATGCCACCCTGAAAAGACAAAAACAGGGTCAAGGAGTTCAGTTGCAGATTATGATCAACAATATCAGCCACAGCTTGGATTGCTACTGTCCATGTCTGTTGGTTGAATGCCTATTTCCTTGGACAGCAGAGCCACTGTTGCAATGTTTCCCCTCGAATCTGGCTCCCAGCAGCAAAACTGATGTGCTTTTGCAGACAATTAGCCAGACTGCTCAGGCATAGCTCAGGGTGAGGAGGAAAGAAATTACTGGGATCTCTTCTATTTCTCTGCTTTGGAAGGAGTCAATTTAGCCTGCTCTGCCTCTCCCTGGAGTTTTGCCTTGCCTCCTCATGAACCCACACAGCTCCACAAATGGTCTCCAGACCACTCAGCCCTCACCTCCCCTCACAAGAACTTCAGCTTCAGCTCCAGAGATTCAAGCCCCCAACAGACACGTTTTCTTTGTGTTATCTTAATTCTTTGAAGTAAGCATTCCCTAAATTTGGGGTCTGTTGGCTTGAGTCCTCAGTGCAAACAGCAGAACAACAGGCCATACTGACAATAGGATGATGGTAAAAATTATGGAGGCATCCTAAGTCACTTGAGATGTAGCAGTGATGAGCAAACACTTTACCCAGAATAGGGGAAATGCTGTCACTTCTCCAAAGCTTTGGTGGTGCTGTGAGATGCCAAGTGGCCAGAAAGAAGTCAGGAATGGGGGTACAAGCACAGCCTGTACCATCTGTACCTGGGTGATGTTGGAGAATCCAATGAGATAAGAGATGAAGCAGACTATTGCGATGAAGATCTTCTTCCTGGCTCTTAGGACTCGAGGGTACTCATCCATCAGGGCTGTAATGAACCCTTCCACAGTGCAGAACTATGGGAAAAGGCATACACTGATGATATATATATAACTGTGTATATATATTTATATATATAAGTATATACATGTATATATATACTTATATTATTATATATATAAGTATATATATACTTATATTTTTATATATATAAGTATATATATGCTTTTATATATATATATATATATATATATATATATATAACTTAACCTGCACACATTTAACTTCAGTGTTGAGAACCTTATGGATTCTGCAGACTCCAGAAAAGAAAGAGTGCACAAAGTTGGTCTGAACCATCTTCTGAAAATTCATCTCTCTCCCCCCCGAATATAGATTGAGCTAGGAGCACCAACTATAAATATTAAGTTAAATACTTAAAAATAGCTCAGCTAAATCTCTGCCTTTTGCTTCTCATATAAAGCCTGCTCTTTCTTCCCATAAACTCTCTAGGGCCTCCCTATGACTGCCCTGCTCCCCAGGCTGCCAGGCCCTGTGCCACAGTTTTTGTCTGGCTGCTGCTGGGACACGTGCGGGACCTTTATTGCTCTTCTCTTCTTGCTCCTCCCAGCCTGTGGCAGCAGCCCTTGTGCTGTTCAATGATGTAAATGCTCAATAAGGACCTGTATTACCCAGTCCTTTGTGCATGGAAATAACAACATCTCTGATTACCCAGTCCTTGACTGCATTTCACTTTTTCAAGCACACAGCATTAAATGCATGTAGCACAACAAAAGCCCATCTTCACAGCACATCGTCTTTCCAGAAGTGGAAATCTCTGGATGGTTTGTGCAGAGCAGCACCAGCCACAGTATAATAATGTTGTCTGCACCATAACACATAACAAAATCCCCATGAGTGTTGCCTTCTAGTTTTCCTTCTACTTCTGCCTTCTGGCACAAGGGCAGTTTGACTGCCCTTGTGAAGTGCATTCTTCTCTCCTATCCCTTGATAAATTGTGAGATTTACTTTTATATCTTGCTCCCAGAAACTACAGGTAACACACCCTCTCTCTGAGAGAGCACATCTTGCCTCTGGCAATAACCCAGGGAATTTATGAGGGCAGCAAACTGCCTTCCCTGGTCATGCTGAGCAAATGTACAAGCCAGTGCAATGAAAATTAAAGTGGTTTCATCACTTCTCAATGTCAGGGACTTCCCTGTCCCTGGGAAGAAAAAAATCCCCTAGAGTGAAGGTGGAGATATAGATCAAAAAGAGCAGCAGAGGGTTGGGAAGGCGTGTGAAAAAAAAATGGAATGCCTGAGCCTATTATAGCAAAATTAGGTACCCCAATGCAGGGAAATGACTAGTATTTGATTTTATGGTTTTGGAATGTTGAATATTTGTTCTATTAAAACTGTACAATATTACATTATAACTATATTAAAGGGAGGTATTATAATGTACTATATCTATACTACAAAGAATACTAAAGAAATACTGCTAACTAACAACTCATGACTGTCTCTTGACAGTCAGGACACAGTTTTGAGTGACTGGCTAAGGAAACAAAATAATTTTTAGTAGAATTTAATTGCTAAATTTTTTTAGATAAATAATTTTCTAACACAGTCTACATGTGTAAAACAAGAGGAGTAGTAAGCAGAGCTAAGAATTGTTTTCCCTTCTTCTCTGCCTCTCTCACAGCTTCTCTCTGTTCAGAGGGCATTGAATACCACAGCCTGTAGCTGGGCAGGGATGGTGGAAGAGCTTGCACACTGCTGACTGCTGGGGCTGCCTTCCACGTGGTCAGAGCAAGGCAAAGGGAGATGTGCATGCCCAGGGTTTTACATCCACGTGGAAATCCAGTATTCCCAGAGCATCAAAGCTCCACTGCTTACACTTGAATTTTGAATGAGCTAAGCTTTTTATGTTGCACACAAGTGCCATTAAAGCATCTCTTGCTGTTCATGCATGGGTTAAGCTGCCTTTAAAGCCATTGACAGTGAGTGCTTCACCCCACCCCACCTGGCTTCTTGTCTGGGAGAGTCAGGACTGAGCTGGCACCACAGTTTGAAGAGATAGCATGACTAAAAAACCTCTGCTGAAAGCTATTCCTTCCACATGGATGCATGGCTAGGCACTGCCAGAGCCATGGCAGGGCCAGGGGATCTGAGACCAGAAAGGCAAATGCATTTGGAGGGGAGCAGCCCTGGTCATGGGCACAGGGTGGTGTCCAGCAGAAAAGGAGCAAAGGAAATGATGCCTTAGAAAACTGGATGAAGTAAAGCTGACAGCAGAAAGAATGATCAAAATCAGGGAATGCTGAAAGGGAAAGACAGGGAGATGGGTGGTGAGGAACAGGGCTACAAATTCAGTTGAATTCTCTTTGTCTCCTATCAAAATTAAGCTCCTGTGTAATGGATAAGGTGGAGAAACAAATGGTTGTGTATTGCTTTTTCTAGCCATGGAACTGACAATGAGCTTCATACCATTTACTGAAAATTGCCTCAAGACAGCCTCAGACTTCATAGGGGATGCAGCCTGGAGGAGGTTTAACTTTCCACTCCAGGGACTGCAGGTGCTTGGCATGGGGCTCACTTTCCCCAGCTTACAGACCAAACCTTGGCTGCTTGCACATGCAGGCACCTGAATGAAAGCATGCTGCTTTCAGAGTGGCATGGAGCTGAGCACTGGTGCCTCCTGTTCTTGCCACTGCAATCTGCTTTCCAAAAAATTCTCCTTTTCCCACCAACCCTCCCCAGCCACATTTTTTAGCATGCATTCTTCTCTTCTTCATGATATTATTTCTTTCCCAAGCATTTTATTTCCATTAACTTCACTTTTTTGCTCCTTTCCTCTTTAGGGGCCTAATCATTACACAAAGTGCTGGGTGCAGCAATCTGGGCTTGGGAGCCACGAGAGTGGTCTCACTGCTGGCAGCTGGAAATCCTCATGACCAACGTGTGCCAGGCAGCCTCACATGGGACAGACACAGGGCTGACAGTCACAAGGCTTGCCAGCTCCCCTGAGCAATAAATGCCTGACCTGGAAACTGGTAGGTCAAAAGGAAGCACTAGCATATTATGAAAGAGGGTCTGGATGGGAGAGAGCTGAAGCCTGGATGGATCAGAGCAGAGGGAACATCAAGGCACAGGAGGGAGGTGTCAGCACAGGTCACTCATCCCACAGGAGCAGCCAGGCAGGAAGAGCAGCTGTGCTGAACCTGCAGGACACAATGCTTGCTCCCCATCTGCAAATGCCACAAAGGATATGCAATCAGCATGCAGAAAAACCTTTTTTTTTTTTTTAAACTAAATGTTTCAAAACGCATGTGGAACTGCAGCCAGTGTAGCAGGCTGTGCTCACTGGTTTACATGCAGAAGCTGCCATGCTGTTGCTGGTGTGTTCGAATGAGACAGAGCTCCAGCATGCAGACAGAAAGCTGCTTCACATGTATTTAGCTGTGCTGTTTAAAAGCTTGTTTTCCTTTTGATGCTTCATTCCCCCACCCCAGCCTCTTCCTCCAGGCAATGAGAGCCTCGCAACAGACTGTCTGCCCTCTGAAACTGGCTGTCAGAAGGCACGTGGAGAATTTCAAGGGGTATTTCAGAAGCAAATGCAGCAAATAAATTCCACACAGAGTGCTTAGAGGGCTTATTGTCATGTCTCCATTTACCAGCACTGAGTGAATAATCCATGCAGATAAATGTTTTTTTCTGTAAATGTAGTTTCTTTCAGAACATTCAGGTATTATTTTAATTTTTTTTCCTATATAATGTCTGTGGTAATGCATTCATGAGTTTTATAAAATGCGTATGAGAGTGTGACATGATTGAAAACCAGGTTTGGTTGATTAGATTTTCCTGGAAACCAGGTGTGACATTTCAGGAATAGGTTTGAGTCTGATTGTGAAGTAGGCTTGGCTTTATGAACACTGACTGTAATCCAAGAGAGCATCCATTTTGTGCTGATAGTTTGTGCTGCAAGAGAAGAGCACAGGGGCACAAGGGTGGATGTGACAGACCAAGTGCACGTTTTTGTAGGAAACTTTGATTTCTATACACTCAAAAGGAAGGCATGCTGCAATTCACTGCTTTACTGGGTAGCTACTTTTATGCTGAATTATCAGAAAAAACCCTATCACCACTTGTAAAAATGCAGAGATAATGGTTTTTTGTTTGTTTTGTGAGGGCTCTGAGGTGGCAGGGTAGAGACATTTTGCTACATCTAACTTCTTCCACCTCAAATATCTTGTAAAACTTTTCCATCAGATAAGAGGGCAAAGCAGTCAGGGTACCCAGGCACAGACTTTTCCAAGGCATGACTCCTTCCTTCTGCCAGGATCTATCTATCCCTGCTAAACTATGGACCAGGCCAGGGAGCTGCAGCTCTGATTAGGGTTGCATTGTTGCTGGCATCAACAGCAATGCCAAAATGCTGCAGGAAAGCACAGCCCTCACACCATGAGAGAACAAAAACCCACTCAGCTCAGCACTGTCCCAAGTGCAGAAGGGGACACCACAATTGTACCTGAAGACATTTTTGCATCTTCCTCCACTTTGTCCCTGAGTTGTCTCACCTGACTGTCCAGACCCAGCATCATCAGCATGGAGAAGAAGAGGATTGACCAGAGTGGGGACAAGGGCAGCTGTGTGACAACCTGCGGGTAGGCCAGGAAAGCCAGTCCAGGGCCTGCAGTAAGGAAAAGGGGGATGAGCCCATGGTCACAAAGCATTTGATGGCAAGTCTGAGCTAAGTGCCACAGTTAAATAGAGAGACAAAAAATACAGCCAAGAACTCAGGGGGTTTTATACAGGAGCTAGGAACACCTGTGTCTTTGTGCCCGTGACACACCAGCTTGATGGGGGCATGGGGGCAAGATGGGGAGACAGGATTGGAGAAACAACTCCTGCAAACAAGTAATCAAATTATTGCAACCAAATGGAGCTGGAGCACTGTGCTAGAAAAATAAACTGATATTCAGAACTTGTTATAACTTTCCTGGTGCTTTTTTTCCCCCATTGCAAAATGCTGTTCCTTGAGATAAAAGCTTTCTCTGGAAAGACAGCAATTTCAAAATATGTCTTCGTGCAGAAAGACACAGTCCTATCTTGGTTAAAACATTATTCTGAGATCACAGTTTCAAGATTTTGCATGCAAAAGGGACTCCAAATTTTGATCACATCTACTGAAAACATAGGTAGTATCTATTCTCCATAAGAAGGTTTCAGAAAGCAAATGGCCTAAATATTTCACTACAGCAAAATAAAACTTCAGCACACCTAGTCAGGAAAGAACAAGAGCACCCCACACAAAAGGTTCTCACAGGTGCTGTTGCATTTGAACCTGGGTTTCTGCTTACCTGAGGAGGCCAGCTCTGACACCGACTTCTTTGTGATGTGAGACATGAAGCCAATGATAGAGAAAATAACAAACCCTGCAAATATGCTTGTGGTGGAGTTTATACAACAGACAATAATGGAGTCTCTGGAAGAGAGAAAGAGAGAAAAAACCCCACCTGCAGGTCCCACCAAGAGCAGAGGGTGGGGTAAACAAAAGACCAAGCCCTGTGGATAGCTGGTCCTGTGCCTTGGACAGGTAGCACAGGTGACACACTGAGTGTCCTGTAGGCAGGGAGCCCCTCTGAAGAGATCACAGTGTGTCCCCCAAGGGGACAGCAGAGATCAGGCAGATTCACCACAACCCCCTGCCTCACCCATGAGGAGTCCCAGCCATACAGGAGGATGGAAAAAACCCACTGACCTGTAGACATTGTTGTGGAAAGTGTTGTAGCTGCCCAGAGCAATGAGGGACCCCAGCCCCAGGCCGTAGGAGAAGAAGATCTGAGTGGCTGCATCCATCCAGACCTGTGGAGAAGGAGCCAGAGGAGGAGTGCAGCAGAAGGGGACTCCATGCTGCAGGTGCATGTCCTGCAGCAGCACAGTGCCAGGCTTGCAGGGAGACTGAGTGCAGATTGTGGAGCTGAGTGCTTGGATGTACAGGGGGACTGGGGGCAGACTGTGGAGCTCAGTGCTTGGATGTACAGCCCACTGGGGTGGCCAGGACCTGAGGGAGCCCTGTCAGTAGGGCCCAGGCAAGAGTTTCTCACAAACATCTAATCTAAAGGTATTCTCTTTCAGTTTAAAGCCATTCTTCTTGTCCTGTCACTACATGGGCTTGTCAAAAGTCCCTCTCCAGGGCTTTTCTGTAGGGCCCTTTCTGTACTGGAACACAGGGAATCTGCATCCTTCCGTGTGTCAAGTGTATCAAAGTGCAGTCTGGCCCAGCATCAGACATGCCCTCCAGTGGGATGATGTAGATGGATGAAGGGTCATGCATTTCTGAACAGTGTCCTGTGCACATCAGAAGGGTCTCTTGCATTGTCTGAGTCTGTGTGTTTGCTTTCTCACATGTGGCCCCAAGGGATGCTGCTCCACTCAGAGACCCACATCCTTCTCTCACGCCCTCCATTTCTTTTCCACTAGTGTGTCTTTGATTTTCCAACATGGAAACAACATGTGCAAACAACTGCAGAGGACAGCTTGCAAAGCTGGTCTGAGTGCCTTAAGATGTTAAAGCTTAGAAAGTTCAAGAAAAGGAGGCAAACTGTTTGTTTCTTAATTGCATATTATTTATACAACTCTTCTGGTCTTGAGAACCCTGTTTCCTGCATTAGAGCCAATGCAGTTGGTAGTATGGTTACAGAGAGTGTCCTGAAAGGGGATCATTGGGACCCTCACTGGAAAGTGACAAATGTCCAGCTGTCCCCACTCACGCATGACTGGTGACTTTGGAACCACGGGAGTATTGCTGCTGAAAAACACAGAGTCTGTGTATCCTGAAAAACTTCATTTTTGCAAGAATCCCTATTCCTCCTGGGTCTCCTCTCTGCTGCCAGTGACCAAGAACACATTAAGAACACATTAACTCATCACTTAAGCACTTCCAAAACCTACTGCTGTGTGTGCTGCTGTGCTTGTGCTCCTTCTGAAGCCCCCATGCCAGCAGCACATCATCCTTTCTCTGGGACCACCAGGACAGTCACTGAAATGAGACATTCCCAGCCTAGAGGAGAGGTCCCTTTGTCAGGATAACTTCTGACTCCCCATACCCTGTGGATAACTCTGCCTGGTACAGCAGAGCTGCTGCACAGATTTCCACCCATGAAGGATCTTTTCCTCAGCTTTGTCTCAGCCCTATGGGACAAGGGTCATGAATACTTGCACAGGGTAATTCTAGAGTTATTTAAAGTAGTTACAATATTCATGGGAAGTGCTTGAGGAAGCCTAAAGCAGAGACAGATAGGAGCTTTCCTCACTAGGCTACTAACCTCAGAGTCAGAGAGCTTCCTGAAGTCAGGTGTGAGGTAGAAGAGGATCCCCTCCTTGGCTCCTGGCAGCGTGACTCCCCGGAACAAGAGGATGAAAAGCATGAAGTAGGGGTAGGTGGCTGAGAAATACACCACCTGGAAAAGACCCCATGGGAGAGAAAACATCAGCCCACCAGTGCCCAGGACCTTTCCTGCCCATGGTGTCATTGAGACTGGCATGTTCGCCTGTGAGGGGGACGGGATCCCAAGCACAGCCACTTTCAGCAGCGTTTCCTTGCATTTTCTGTCTCCCATTCCCATGCTAGTAATGTTTCTGGCTGTTTAAGGTTTCTCCCTGCCAATGACACACAAGGACATACTAATCACAAAAGTAGCATGCTGAAGTCTGGATGAAATGCCCAAAGACAAGGGAATTGCACAGGGATAATTTTAGCCCACAGAAGTAATCCCCTTAAGTCATCACATCCTTATTTTGAAGAGCTAAAGCTGGTGTTTCTCTAGACCAGTGCATCAAGCAAAACAAGTTGTCTTGATTCCACTGCTTTCTTTTCAGCACTGTTTCAGTATCTTATGGGTATGTGCCATGCCTCATCACAGAGCCCACACCAGTAATCACCAGGGCTTTGCTGTGGCTGTGTAGCTAAAGCCTGTTTGAGAGCCACTGGGGAAGTTAACAGCTTAGGTGACCTACCCCTGAAGTGCTTCTTTCTGATCTCTCCTCTAGATTATTCCTTTCATAATAGTGTCTGGCTGCACCATGCTGTGCTCTAAATAACACATCCCAGCATCTCAGCGCTGCTGTTTCACTAAACAAAGCAATTACCTTTCTACTGTGCTAGCCTGGAACACTGCACAGGGAATAACAACGGGCTTCTCATCTGAACGTCTCCCACCAATATCAAAAGGGCAGCAGGGAAATTGTCAAAGGAGATGGGGAGATTTTTTCCACCAGAGGCAATTTAAGAGACTGTGATTGTCAGAAGTGGGAGGCAACAAGAAGCTTTGTTCTCTCAAAGGGCTGTCCCAAAGTGGGAAATATAAGTAATTTCTGAAAATGCCTCTTCCCAAAAAGAATGCATGCTCAGACCCATGACCCTACAGGCAAGAGCTATTCTCTACACTTAGAATGAAAATTACCATAAACATCATAGCAATTTTCACAGCCATGAAAGGTAAATGTCAGGAATTTAATAGCATCTATTATGATTTTGCCTCTAAACACTGTAACCTTAGTTATAGACACTTAAATAAAATTGAGTCTGGAGGACATTTTGACGGCACAGCAATGAGAGGCAGCACCAAAAGACCCAGCCCTCACACTGTACCTTGCCTGTCCACTCCACACCCTTCCAGATGGAGAAGTAGACCAGCAGCCAGGCCAGGGCCAGCGTGCCAGCCAGGGGCCAGCGGACAGCGCCAGGCTCCCCCAGGCCTCCGGACATCTGGTGCATGTTCCTCCTAAGGGTGGGAGACACACTGTCAGGAGGAACTCTAACAACCAAGGGCTGAGGAATTTGGAGCTCCCAGACGTGGCTGGAGGGGGAAAGGCCAGGTGCAGACAAGTGTGAGAACCCACAAATCCCTAGAGGGAATGAGGATCATCGTGATGGGACAAAGGGAGGTGAAGAGAGGTGGAGAGACTGCCTGCAGGTCCATCTGATGTGCATCTGCACAGGGCACCCCATGCCCACCATGGCTGTAACGCCCTTATGCCAAAGCTGCCCAAGGAGCAGAGCCCACAGGCACAGCCACAGCCCTGGTGGGCAGGCACAGTGACCACAGGGAGGGAGAAACCTGGTGTGGGCAGCTGGGGACGTACTCCCAGAACTCGGTGACGGCGCTGGTGAGGTTGGTGGTGTCGTTTAGGGAGTAGTTGGAGAAGCAGCGCTCGGTGTTCCAGGCGTTCCCACAGCTCTGCCACGGCAGCTCCTGCACCAGAACAAGGACACCAGGGTCACCATTCATGGGATATCTCCCAATGAAATCTGGCTTCTTCTAAACTGAAGCCCGTTAATATTTTTTTTTTTTTGCAAAGATAATGGGCAGCTCCACTGGATGGGCATACCCTTGTAGCCAAAATAATGGAACAATTTTCAAAAATATGATAAATTGTGACAAGGATTTTTGGGGAAAAAAATATCATGATGTGATTAGGGCAATACTGTAGCTCCAATAAAATGTTAGCAATTCCCCACATAGAAAGCCACTTCCAATTAACTGTTGATAATTAATACCTACAAATTAAAATACTATCAAGGGATACTGTGTTTATAACCATTACAGCTTTTTGCTAGCTTCATTCAACAAGTGGCTGGAATTTACTGCACAAAGAATAAGCAGGGATTTGTTTCTTATGTTTAATTTACACCAACTTCAATGCTTAAAAAGCAACATGGCCCTGAGAATGGAGGCAACGGGTTGTCTACACAAACAGACTTTTATAACACAAGCACAGGAGAAAATTGTGCAGGAGAGTAGCTGCTTGATGCTGTCCACTGCCCTGATTATAAGCAGCACACAGGGATTCCTGGGAGAGGTTTACACTGTGGGTAGCAGTGTGACAGCAGCACAACACTACAGAGTTACTGCAGTCAGCTCTGACACTGCAGGCAGGGAAGCAGCAGTGCCAGGGGCCATGTGAGGGTGCAGGGTAACTCACCCAGGCCATGCAGTGCCACGGCTGAGCCAGCCCAAGGAAGAAGCTCAGATATGTCCCCATGAGCAGCTAGCTCTTTTCCCAAGCACAGTGTGTGTAGATAAATGCAGAGCAGCTATTCTGGGTGATTTCCTTCTGCAGATAAGGCCTGCAGCTTTAAGAAGAAGTTTGTATCCATCCCTATTCCTCCAGGAATATAGACCTCTTAATTGTAAAAGCAGACCCACTGACGAGGGGAGAGAATGATGCATCTGACTCCATCTTATCAGAAGGCTAATTTATTACTTTATTATACTATATTATATTAAAGAATACTATACTATACTAAAGAATACAGAAAAGAAACTTACTGAATACTAAAGAGATAATGAAAACTCGTGACTCTTTCCAGAGCCCTGACACAGTTTGGCCTAGATTGGCCAAAGAGTGAAAACAACTCACAGCAGAATCCAATGAAACAATCACCTGTGGGTAAAAAAATCTCCAAACACATTCCACATGAGCACAACACAGGAGAAGCAAATGAGATAAGAATTGTTTTCCTTTTCTCTGAGGCCTCTCTTGCTGCCTTTCAGCTTCTCAGGAGAAAAATCTTGGGTGAAGGAATGTTTTCAGAGAGTATGAATGCCATGCTCTTAAAAAATATTATATGCATTTTAAGTGCCTTGTGCCATGAGTGCCTTTAAGTGCTGCCTTCACTGCTCCATCTAAATCAGTTCACTCCAGCAGATGATACCTTCAAATGTGGCATCCTGGCAGAATGGTGACTATTGCAGGGGTGGAGGTGACATTCCAATGGCCACCTGGACCACTGCACCCTCCTCAGCAGTGGTGATTTCATGAGGACTTGCTAACTGCACTGAGGAAAAGGCAGTGGCTTGAGCAGTGCTGCACAGCAGCTCTTCAATTCTGCATGTTAGAGAAGCTGCACAGCTCTCACAAGGAGGAGGAGGCTGGGGGCAGTTTGTTGCTGCTCCATTTCCTCTGAATTTTAGGAGACAGAAACTGCAGAAGGCAGGCTGGGCTCTTATTATAGTTCAAAATACTCTTAGTTAAATTTAGGAGGCACAGGGGGCAGACATCAGCCTGGCTTTTTCATTTGCACCTCGGGTCCTTTTGGGAATTTGGAATTTTTTTTGAGCCAAACATCTGGATCTGCTTATTTACATACAAGCACTGTCCCCACCTGGGTCTGTAATACCTGAAGGTGCCAAAGCCTTATCCTGAGAAACATCCTGCCCAGGGTGGAGTTGGGATGGGTTATGTTGGGGAAGACCTCTGTTTATTTGGGAGCCCCTGAGGGTGCATCTAATCACCCACAGCCAATAATTCTGTTCTAGATCCAGGACCCTACAGTGATAGGTGGTGCTGGTGGCAGAAACACAGTTGGGAATGCCAAATGAAATGATTCAGCAAAAGTCTTGATAGATACTTGAAAGTTTTGCTGGAACAAAAAGGAAAACTGGTTGTACAGTGTCCACAATAGCATTTCAAGGCTATATCTAAATGAAATTTATAAAGATCCCATTTGAACCATGGGGTTGATGTCTTTAAGGCTTCAGGTTGCTCAGAGACTTACATTAAGGAAACTCTTAGCAGTTTCTGGGTTGAAATAAATATTTCAGCTACCAAGAAGTTAATATGGGGTGTGAGACTAACCTTGTGTGGTAGAAGACCTGCTATGGAAGAGGAACCCACTACAAATTATAACACCAAAGCACACACTAAGGGACAGTCACAAGCAGATGTCTAGATACTTTCTGAATCATTTTCCCAGCAGAAAAAAAAATGCCTTGGAGATCATTTATCAAGAGAGGAGTGAACAAGAACTAATTAAGATAAGGAGCAAGTCCTGAGAAATGAGACCATGATGTAACAAAGCCTGACAAAACCAGTTCTGGAAATGTGCAGCTCAGATTCGAGCAGCACTAGAAATAAAACAGAAACACAGGCTGAGTTTTAAAGACTGAAGTGAGTGGGGAACAGTTCCTGTAGAGGAGATAGGAACATCATCCCCCAGAGGACAAGCGTCACCACCCATCAGCACCACAAAACTGCCTCCAGGGCTGATTAACCTCTTCAGGAAGGGTGTAGCACGACACTGTCAAGGGCTCTTTGTACAAATGGCAAGCAGCTAGTGACTGCTGTGGGTCATGAACAAACCGCTGCCCATAAGGGGGAGTGAGGGCCCAGAGCACTGAGCCAATGCCACGCTGCAGACACGCCCAGGACTCACCGAAGTGAAGGAGTTGAAGAGATAGTAGAGAGCCCAGGCAATGATGACAATGTAGTAGATGTTCAGCCAGAAGGACAGAACCATGGCTGCCAGGCCCACACCTGCAAATGAAGGCAGAGAGCAGCATCAATCCATGTGGCAGTACCAGTTGTGGGTTTCTCTGGGTCTGGATTGAAGGCACTTGAGACAGCAATTCATGTTTGGACTCAAGTGTTCATTATTCCTTATCAGTGAAACAGTCTCACTGCTGTGAGTTCAGCAGCACAAAATGGCCAACAATCTCTTGTTACAAGGTCTTTTAAGACCAAACAATCCAATTAAGAACTGGCACCTGGATTATTTTCCCTTTTAACCCAATAACTGATCCCAAAGAGCCCCCAATGCAGACTTTCCTGTCTAATAACAAAATGACACCCAAATCCATGAAGAAGAAGGAAGAAGAACCATGAAGAAGAAACCCAGGATGACACCCTGTGTCCTCCATCTTGCTTCCATCCACGACACACTAAAAATCCCAAAACCTCAATTTCTCACCAAGTGATCACCTGCACTACTCTCTATAATCTATTTCACACTTTTGTGGATTCCAGTCTATCTTGGAGTCCAGGAAACTTTCTCCATGAATGAGGGTCAGAGTCAGTGCTCCCCTGGGGGTCAGGGCACCCCAGAGCAGACAGAGAAATATTCCAGTGCCCTGGGTTTCCACAAATCCAAGTCTCCAGTACCAAAGGGAGTTCATGGGCACCACAGCAAGGTTTTTTTTGAAAACCAACAAAAGGGAACCAGCTTATCAACACAGAGTGTGCTATAGCTGCAGAGTGAGCTGGTCAGCAAGGGAGGCTCATTCCCTTATATCTCTCAGCCACCCATTTCCACTGGGGGAACAATGCTTTCAGTGTGCTACTGGTACTTTATGGACAGAGCTCCATGAAAATAGGATCTGTTCTCTTCCCTGGCAGAATTGTACTTTCCCACATCCAAGGCTTTTCTAAATCACCATTGGCTTCTAGAGAACAGTTTTTTCAAGCATGGCAACAGGTTACATTCCCATACAATTAAAGTAAGCATATGTTGAGAAAACAAAGGGTCTTCTGCAACTGGAGCCTCTCTGTCACAATCCCTTGTCCCATAAAGTCCCTTGTCATCACACAGAACTGCTTGAACAGAGCACAGTGATGTTAGTGACTGCAGACAGAGGTCAAGAACAGTTTGATAAAGACAGAGGGGAATCCACAAACCTCCCCCCCCCCACCTCCACCTGCCACCCCATTCCAGCCCCCAGGAATTTGCTGATTTTCCTTCAAACCATTAGTGGAGTTTTGCCTCTAGTGATGTGCCACTTCTGTCACAGACATTCAGCACAGTACCTTTGAACATGGGTGCTAATCTCCAGACTCCTAGTCCACCAATAGAGGTATACTGGCCCAGAGCAGTTTCCAGCAGGAAGAGAGGAATCCCAGCAAACACCAGCGTCAGGAAATAGGGGATGAGGAAGGCCCCTGAAAGAAGGAGAAATATTATCAGGCAGTTCCCCCTTTGATCAAGAAGGAAATGCCTCCAGCTGCAGTTCCTTGCTCTGCAGCAGCCATGTGATGAGGAGCAGCCTCTCCCAGAGGTGACAGCTTGCAGCTGGAGTTGATGTGTTTGGTGAGTCTCCCACTGAGGTCACACTGCCTTTCCCTTATCACTGTGGGTATGTGTGCACCATGTGTACAAATACACTGGCATCACTAGCTGTGCAATGCCAGGCTCACTTTGTTAGCTGCTTAGGCAATGCTAAACCCAATCTGACAACAACCCCAAAAGCTTGGACACTGACATTGGTAACTCGTTGATGCTTTCTGTCTTATCTGCAGAAGCTTTCAATTCTTCTTCTTCTTCTTCTTTTTCTTCTTGAGGGAGTAATGCACAGGAATATCTGGCATTGGCCACTGCTTTCTTTGTTTATAACTGTTTCAATCTTTTTAAAAAACTGTGACCAAGACTGTATTGGCTCTTGTAACAGTGCTACGTACCACCCCACCTGTGTTTTAGGTTTTACCTTAAAATTCCTAGTGAAAATATTATTCTTCTCTGTGGCCCTATGGAAATTATCTAATACCTCAAAGGAGGTAGAATACTCATTCACTAGAGATATTACTGGCACCCAGTTTTTAGAAGAGCAATTAGAATAGGAAAGCCTTGCTGTGTGATTGGAAGGCTGTACAAGTTCAGGGCATCCTGACTTCTAGGATGTGGGACAAAGCCCAGTTTTATCTTTCTCATGCCTGTACTGGAGTGGGTCATCATTTCTGAGGAGGACAAACCTTTGCAGAAGATGCTCACAGGGGACAGAGGGAGGACACTCAGTTTGCCCAGAAGTGGCTGGCTGTGCTCAGGACAGCACTGATTCCTGCACCAGCCTTAGGGCTGAGCTGTCAGTCTGAGTCTTCCTCTCCAGATAATTGTAGGGAAGCAAACACAGAGCCAGCGAGCAAAGCCACTCTGGAGAGCTGTGGCCCAGCTTGCACCCAGCAGAGCCAGGCTCCAGCAGCTGCTCTTGGAGGGCAGGGAAGCAGCCAGGGATGCTGGCTCAGGGGACACCCAGCTGGGGACATCTGCCTGCCAAGCAGGGAGCTGAACCCAGCTGGGAGAGGCAGGTGCCAGCACTCGGCATGAGAGTCCATGGGAGGCAGCGTGCAAGAGGAGCTGGCAGTGGGTGGTGGGCAGAAAACACTCTCTGTGCCAGCAGCTCAGTGACCATAAACCTGAATCACAAGCTGGCATGGAAGCACAGGCTCTTGGCTTCACCAGCAGCCTGGTGCACAGCAGAGAACAGCTCTGGGCATCACTGTGCCTGCTCAGCAGCCTCTCTCCCCTGTGTGCTCACCAGACACCACAGCCTGCTCCCACAGCCCCTGAGAGCCCTGTGGGAAGCCAGTGTCTGCTCCAGGGCTGCTGCCACCCTGCTGCTGTGCAGTTTGGAGGCTGAGCTTAGCAGCAGTGTAAGTCTCCTCCTCGCTTCTGTGCAAGGAATTAATGAAATTTGGCTGCAGCTCTGATGATCCTGCACTTCTCATCTACAGCAGATCAAGAAGGTTTGTAGGTGAAAGATCTTATTAGATGCTGGGGGGAAAAAAAAGGAAACAAAAACAAATAAACTGTTGGACACAAGTCTTTTATCCTGACTTGATTCTCAAGAATTGTGGAAAATTTACAAACCAGACCACCTCCTTTAGCTGAGGGCTGTTGGCAATGACACTGCCACTCTGGAGGGCCACATCCCCAAGCATGGATCATATAATATCCCCAGGTCCTGTACAGCCAGATGGGAAATCAGTTCTGGAATTTGTATCTAAATTTTGCAGACCAGTACAAAATATGGTTGTATGTGACCTTGTGAAAGTCCCAGCTTGTCTCCAGATCCATGGTGTCAGAGGTGATGACGCTGGTCCTGCTCAGAGCTCCGACCCTTGAAGGCAAGGAGGGATCAATAGTGCCTGGTGCTCACTGTGCAGCCCCAAATCTGCCTGTTCCTAATGCTGCACAGCAGAGAACAACAATTAATCCTTAAAACAGGGAACACTGCCCACGAATCAAAAACTGAGCATTACAAGCTGTTACACTGTGTTGTTTTGAGTCTCAGTGTGCAAATGAGGAGTGGAGGATGCTTATTTAAAGGATTGTTTTTCTCTCAAGTTATTCAAGCTTAGGATCTCACAGGCAATTTTTAGCATGTACTGAGCTGCATTTGGAGTGAATTTGGAGTCTGGTACAATTCTGTTGAGATCAAAGGGACTGTATAAGGTTAGAGATCGCTGTAGAGGCTGGAGGCACAGCTGGGCACATCCAGCTGCGTGCAGGGCCAGCAGGGAGCCCAGGCATCGCTTTGGGTGAAGCCTGCTCCCCGCAGCGGCCGGGCCGAGCGCTGTGCTGCCGTGCCCGGGGCTCCCCGCGCCGAGCAAGCCAGCCGTGAGCCGATGCAATGCGACAGCGGTAAGTGAGACGACAATATTTCCATTCAGTTCAATTTGCCTGTGCGTAATGGAAGCAGCCCACACGGCCGCGCTCTGAGCAGCGCACATGCGGGACGCTAAAATTAGCGTTCCACCCACGGTCTGCGGCGCTCCGCGGAGGCTGAGCCGAGGCCGTGCCCGCCCGCTTGCGAAGGAGCCGCGTCCCGGTGATGCTCCCGTGCGTCAGCTCCGGCTCAGCCAGCGCTCCCTCCTTGGTGCTGCCGGCTGCGGGAGCGGCAGGGCCGGGGGAAGGAGCCATCCAGGCTGCCATGAACAGCACGGAGCGGCAGGGCCGGGGGAAGGGGCCATCCAGGCTGCCATGAACGGCACGGAGCGGCAGGGTGTTGGGGAAGGGGCCATCCAGGCTGCCATGAACAGCACGGAGCGGCAGGGCCGGGGGAAGGGGCCATCCAGGCTGCCATGAACAGCACGGAGCGGCAGGGTGCTGGGAGCAGGAACCAATTCCTGCATTGCATCTGTCTGCTCACAGCCGGCTGCTCCCTCTGCGTGCCCGCGGCTGTCAGGGCAGAGAGCGCCCAGTGCTAATGCTAAAAATAGCGCTCCGCACCTCCACAGCACCCTCTGACTTTATATGTAGGCTTTTAGCTTCACTACACCCCTCATCTAATTACATCACTGTCATCTCCACCTTTATGTGTGAGGACACAGTCACAGGCAGCACAGAGCTGTGTGAGACTTGGGATGACACAGCAAGCACAGGGCTAACAACCAGTGCTGGACCCAGCCATGGGGAAATGTTCTGTGAGGAGAGATAGCAGCCAGAGAGTGGCCACACAAAGTTGACAGACCTGCACTGGTGGCACAGGCCTGGATGTTCCCACAAAACCTCCCCTGGGCAGGCCTGGATGTTCCCACAAACCTCACTCAGCTTCACGTGCACATTTCCACCTCTCCACAAAACCCAAAGAAGCTGTGGATGCCCCATCCCTGAAAGCGTTCATGGCCAGGTTGGATGTGGCTTTGAACATCCTAGTGGAAGGTGTCCCTGCCCTTGGCTGTGGGTTTGGAACTGGCTGATCTTTTAGGTCCTTTCCAACCCTGACCACCATCCTATAATTCTACAATTCTTTGAAAACAGCATGGCCAGTTGGAAATCTTCTTGTCCAAATCGCTAACTTTCTGATCTCCCACTAGGACTCACTCCATGATTCAGAGAAAGGGCCTAGATATCCTTAAATACCATGAAGTTAAGTGGACATTGCTTCAGGGAACAAGACCCTTCTCTTCTCCAGGGCTGGAGGAGAAGAGCATCTTACACTGCCTGCAAGAGCAGAAATGGGCTGGTGATACAAGAAGTTATGAGAGCCAAAGGTAAAAGGAAAATTAAAAAGACATGGAGAAGAAACATGAGATCCTCAGAGCAGCATGAATGAGTGTGGCACTTGGGATGGGGACTCTAGGCCAGGAGGAGCTAAGAGGGAAGCAAAGAGCAATGTGGGAAGACTAGCAGGCAAAAACTAAAATGATATATACAGATTTAAAGGTGAGGAAAATGGGTTTGGACTTGTGTGGGAAGTCTGTAAAATGGTTCAAGGAAGTGAGCAGCTCTTCAAAGGGGAGAAGGAGGGCTGTTTTAGTAACAGGCACAAGCAATGGGAGAGCTCAGCATGGAGTGAGAAGAAAGAGCCTCTGCTCTACTGACACCTGCCTGTACTCCCCTCCACAAAAGCATCTCCCTGACAAGACAGAAGAAAGAGCACCATTTGAGAGGGGAGCTGAGGCACAGAAGTGTGTTTTCTGAGTTGATCCAAGATGTGCAGAAATTCTGTAGCTGAGCAGGGAGAATTTCCTTGAGAACACCCTAGACTGAGGAGAACCCAACCTTCAACAGATGCAAACTGGCTTCTCTGGAGGTGCCCAGAATCCAGCTGGGTGCCTGTTTGTGCATAACCCTCCCTGTAAGTAAATGAAGTCCCACATGCCTGGTTTGGGGGTTTTTTTGTAGCAAATTTGAACTTCACAAGCATGACAGAACTCAAACTGCTTGTTATATTTCTTTGGACTGCTTCTTCCCAGCCTGCACTTTCTAGTAAAACCCACAGATCAAGGAAACTTGTCTCTGGACAACTTAATAACTCCCACCATGTGGGAGAGCTCTCAGCTGGAGAACCACCCATTTGCCCGGACACACACCAAGCCAAAACCTGCTCAGGTACAAGGCTGCTCATTGTGCATTTCTCTCACCTCCTCCATTTTTGCCACAGAGATAAGGGAAGCGCCAGACGTTGCCCAGACCGATAGCATAGCCCACACAGGACAGCAAGAAGTCGAATTTCCCCTTCCAGGAACCTCTGTCTGGGATCTCCTTCTTCTTCTTCTTGGTGCTCACGACCTCAGGGCTGATGGGCTCTGGCTCCTCCAGGGCTGCCTGCTTCACCTCAGAGGGAGAGCTCAGCTCCACAGAGGTGTTGTCCATCTTGCCCATGGCGGCTCAGAGGTGAATCCACTCTTGCTGAGGGGCTGGAGGAGCAGGAATGGCAGTTTCTGGCCTGGCCACGAGAAGACAGGAGGGGAAGCACTGGGCAAAGCTCCTGGTGAGAAAGGAGAGAAGGAAGGTGTTCTGTGTCAATGTGTTGTGTCAGACTTGGTTGTTACCATCACAGAACAAATCCCTCAACTCTCATCTTACCTGCTTCTCATGCCAGTGCTCTGCAGGAAGAGCTTTGGGACCAGTAGGCATGCAGCAAAACCACAGGTTGTGGGGGACCCACCACGCAGCACAGAACTACATCTGTCCTGTCTGAGTGACAGTGGAGGAGGGCACGATGGAGGTGCCAGAGCTCCCAGGCCTGGGGTCCAAAACTGAGTGCAGCAGTCACAGAGCCACCTGAGAGTTTGTGTGGCCCTGCCAGCCAAGCACTGCTGTGGATGTGCTCCCCTTGGAAATCCCATGCATTTATCCCTCACCGCAGCAGCAACACAGCCATGTTCACAGCTGTGTACCTGCAGCATCCGGCAAGGCAATCACTGCTTGCTCAGCCCCTCCCTGTGCACTGTGTTGGTTCTGTAATCCCCAGGTGTGTTCAGCTTGTGCTCACTGTGACTAGAGCCAGCCTGTGAACCACTGAAGTCCCATTAAGTCAGGACTTCAAAGTCCTGATGATTAATTGCGTGAGTCCAACTAAAAAAATTTAGTTAATACTTGCATTGATTTTAGTTCTTAAGAAGTATGTAACCATCACACCATAACAATTTGGAAAGAGAGAGAGCAGGCTATGTTACTACCCCTGTGTCTAACCCAATATTGCACTTATGTCTTGAAAAATAAGTGCAGTTCTCTCTTCCTGTCACACAAGCCATTGCAAAGTCAGGAAAAGGCATGGAAGAGAGCCAAAAGGCTGCTTGAAAGAGTGGAGTAACTTCCATGTGAAGAGAGTATAAATGAAACAGGATCCATTGTTCTGTGGAAGAGGTAGCTGGCAGGGGCCCATAAATGTATCAGTGTCATAGAATCCAAGTATTCACCATTTCTGACACAAAAACTGCAAGGGATTAAACCATGACCAGCAGGTGGTAGGTTCAAAAAGAGCAAGAGGTGATATTCCAGAAAATGTGTAGCTATAGAGCAAGACTCCCCCATCCAGCAGGACATGCTGGATGCCAAGAGTTTATATGACTTTAGAAAAGAAAAATAAGGGGATAAATAATGGAAGGAAAATCCACCAGAATCTACTACTGCAATTCTGCAGTAAACCTTGAGCTGGAAGTTGTTGGAGGTTGAGGGACTCTTCCAAGGAAATAGCACTCTCTACTTTTCCTGGTTTTATCCTCTCCCCTCAGCCAGCACAGAAGGCAGGACTGGCATGGGGTTTTCTCTCATCCACTTCTCAGCCCATTTTACAGAGACAAATTTAATCCTCACCAGGGGTCTTGAGGGTGATCAGTGCTACAATCTCCCAGAGAAGTCTGTTGACAAAAACATTAATAGATGCAAACATTGGAAAACAAACAAACAAAAAGAAAGAAAAACAAAATGGGTATATCAGGAAACAAATCAATGTTATAAAGAGGTGTCATGTTCTAGCAGTTAAAGCTGACCTTGCCTGAGCTTCTTTCTAGACTTGGCAGTCTATTCTCATAAAGAAACAGTACCCATTTGGCCCATGGGATGTTTGGGGGACTCGTTAATTAGCATTTCTAAAGTGTACTGGACAGAGATGGTCTCCTAAGTCCAGGCTCAATGGCAGTATGACTCCTGTTTACTACAGCAAGCATCCCATTATTATAGCAGGTGGATTTTGTTCCCCCACAGAATTCATCACTGAGGTCAGAAAAAGTCTTTCAGCTGTGAAGGGAATGGTTGAACCAGGAAATATCTGTAATTCCTTCTGATAAGTCAGTGGAGAAGGCAGAAATCCCCTTCCTGTGGGACAAAGTCTGTAACCAGGCTCCCTGAGCTATGGAGCCCACACCAAGCCTCAACTCACTCCTCCAGCCCCAGGATGGCTGCAGCAAGCCCAGCAGCAAGAGGCAGCATGGAAATGGTTTCTGGGGAGAAGAGACCATTTCACATAGCTCATGAGGCAGATGCCAGAAAAAACCATTGCAGGACACGCAGAGCAAATGCTTTGGTTGGCAGACCCCATTTCTGTCCCATACCTCGTGATAGCACTGTCACACCACCTCCTGGCTCCTCACTAAGGCAGGGAGAAAAAGATTATACAGAATGTGTAGGAGGAAAGTAAAATCAAGAAAATTTATAAATCAAAATAGAAGAAATAGCACCAAAACCCTTGGGAAGAGCTCAGAGCTGGGCTAAGTCAGGGTAATAAGCTATGCCTGGAGACATAAAAAATTTGACTCAGTAGGAGCCATTTAGACTCACTTCTTTTTTTTTCTGTAGACAAAAAACAGAAGGTAAGCCGCTATCTTTTAAAAGTATTTATATATCCTGTTCTCCCTGTGCTCTTTTCCCTGTTTCTGTTGCCACAGTTCTGGGGTGATACTGCAGCTAGTTGGTCACACCTCATATTTCCTACAGTGGGGATAAGATGATAAAGGAGCAGCAGACCACGCTGGCAATTTCTTCTTACCTGAAAAGTGAGATTCTTCATCTCCAGCTCAGAAAGAGTGAGCTAGATTTATAGAGGTTTCTTCACATTAAAGGAATAGAAAAACAGGCAAGAGGATCCCACTGAGGACCCATCCCAGCTACTGTCCTCTCTGCAGTGATGGATGATAGGACAGAAGGGCTTGGGCATGTCCCACAGCCCAGCTGTGCCATGTCCTTCCCCAGACACACGGCCCTGACCAGCAAAACCACAGGCATCACTCTCCCCAGGCCAAGTGCTTGGCTCATGTCAGCCCCTCCACTTATCCAGAAGGGTCTCCTGCAGCAGGAGCACAAAGCTTTGTCCTGTGCTGACAGCAGAGAGAGAGCAGAGTCAGTTCAGCAGCTCTCTGTCATGTCAGATTATTTGTTCTGAAAAGCACACGGTGCTTTGGGCACAGAAAAATGCCTGAAGGACCCAAAATGATAATCAATAAGAGCAGAGCTACAAGATGGAGGTGGCTCTGCTTTGCAAGGACTTGAAAACAAGGTCAAAGTTTCAACATGACACTACAGCAGGTTTCTCATTCAACTTCTTCCAAATGCACCATGTTCTGAAGCCAGAACTTTCCAAGCAATCCATAAATTCCTGGCAGTAAAGGAGTGACCTGTGTTTCACCAGGTTGTATAGAAGGCCTGGTCTTCTGCTGCCCAAGTCAATAAAAACAATTGCCTTGTCCCCAGTGGATGCAGAGCCAAGGTGATACACATTCTGGCAAACAGACTGTCTTCTTTTTGAGGGATTTAACTTCAAATAAGAAAATAGCACTGAGAAAGTATTGCTGCCACTTGAAACTCTGCCTCCTGAAACACTGTTGCTAACAACAGTGACCTTTTTACTTTCCCCTGCTTCAACATCAAATATTAACAATCTCCTCAAATTTGACAGAAACCAAAAATTTCAAAGGCATAAAATTGCCTGAAATGAAACAGCAAAATGAGCAAAATGACCTATGGAAACACATGTAAGAAATACTTCCACACACCTCTCCACCTCTTATTTGTCAGTGATTTAACAGCCACACAAATTACTTCTGACCCATGCAGGTAGAGCCACAATTAGTTTAATTACACAGTGCAGGCTGTTGTTTAGTCAATTAGACTTTTCCTTCCATCCACAGCATTTTAATGACAGCCAAGTAGCCCCAAGGCTGGTGTGTCTTGTTCAGAGCTGTGACCGGCCCATCAGGGCACAGCAGACTCTGAGCTGGTTTTCTGCTCACCACAGCAGCAGCAGCAGCAGCATATGCTGGAGCTTCCTGCATCCATGAGGGCTGGAGGGTCTGGGGAAAAGCTCCTTGTGGGAGCCGGGGGGTTCTGACAGAGTGCTGGCCCCACATGGAGCCCACTCAGGGCTGGAGCATCAGTGTCCTGTCCAGCTGGGTCAGGCTCATGCTTCATAGCCCTCTCTGCATGCTGCCCAAGAGATGCCACTGCAGTCACTCAACATTTTATGTGCTTTCCCATGAAGACAGGTAATTGCTTGGTTGGAGAAGTCAGCACTCACAGAGGATTTGAGAAAAAAATAAATTACCTCTCCAGATGATGGAGCTGCTGGGTGGCCTGCAGTTCCACACCCTTTTCCATCCTCTTGCATAAGATTTGTGTTGATGATACCTGGGTCTGACCTGCAGCTGCTGTGCAATGTGCCTCTTCCACCAGCAGCTCACATCACTTTTAATAATGGGGCAGGTGAGGCTGGCACATCACCACAACCTCATCCATATGAGAAGAAGGGGCACGAGCCAAATTCATAAACCATCAGATAAATGGGACTTTCATATGAGGCAAGGACACATCTTTCAGCCCCCAGCCATGATTCCAGGAGGGTTATGGCAGTACCTCAGAGCCCTGAAAAATTTTTGGAGCTGCTGGGATCTAGTTGCATCTTTCCACGCAATCGCTTTGCCAAGGAGCACCTTCATTTTGGGTTATACATGCAGGAGGAATGGGACCAACTAGTGCAACAACCTAACTGTCTCCTGTTGGATTTCCTGTGGTTCCTCACCCCGTGGAGGAAAGCAGGGTAAGGTCCTGCCCTGGCCTCACTCACCATTTCTGCATCACCTTAACATTGTCTCTAAGGAAAGCAGGGGTCCGTGCCTCTCTTGGAAAATGCAAATGTTGCAGCCTCTGAACCATTTTACTGCTCTCACTTAAAACCCATCCTGGTCCCTGAGAAGCTTCCCCAGGAAGCAGAGAGATGGCAGCACTCCTTTTTGGCCCTTGCAGACTGTCCTGACCCAGTCTGAGCCAGCACAGCAGCATGAGGATCAAGGCCAGGCCACATCCCACTCCCTCATGGCAGTGTGTGAGCACACTGCACATTTACAGATTGGAATGCATCCCTGTCTCTATCCTCCTCAGTGAAAGTATAGCATTAAAAACATTAAAGGCCTATTTCTACTTATTTTAAATGTGTAGATTAAATTTAAAAGTGTTTTCTTTTCTTGTATAATGCAACCTGTCACGCTAGGATGCCAGTTTCATGATGTTGGTAGTTTTGGCTGTTATTCTTTTGTCCTGCCTGAAGCAACATGGGCATTTTTAGCCCAGCTTCATTCTGCAAAGACCCATCTGTCTGATCCCAACCCCAGTCACTTTTTGAGTTCACAGGCGGGTTTCACCTGTGCATGAAAAAAGAGCACAGCTCTCAAAGAAGTTCCTCAAGAAGCAGGGAATGGAGGGAGAGAAGACATGCAGGTTGGTGCTTCTCCAGAATAAGGGTGATGGGGTGACCTGCTCTGTTCCTTGGTAAGGAATAGTCCCACTCCAGGGAGGCTAAAGGAAAAAACCTTCCCAGTGCCTTCAATGAGAACATCAGTGGGGCAGAAGTGCCTAGAACAGAGAGGGTTCTGTTCTAGAACCCTCTGGAGGGTTCTCCAGAGAGGCTGCACTGTCACAGCTCAGTCACTGCAGCCTGAGTTACAGCTCGCTGGCCTATACCTCACCAAAACTCTGCCTCTGAAGCAAGATTTTAGCTTAAGTCCTGATCTGAAGCAACATCCTGGGTGAGACTTTGGTGTTCCCAGGGGTAAAGTGCCCTGTCTTACAAGGACTCATCAATGCTGTGCAAAAGCCATGGCTGTGCAGTGCATGAGGGGGAAGAAATCATAATTTCATGCACATAAAGCTGGATTTGATGCAGCTCCAGAGATGTTGCAAGTGATGCCAGTGGTTATTTGCTGTATTTGTCTTGGAATGGTTTGGGTTTGTTTTTTTTTTAATTTCTTTTTTGTTTGGTTGGTTTGGTTTTGGGGGGTTTTGTTTGTTCATTGTTTGGGGTTTTTTGGGGGGTTTTATTTAGTTTTTGCTCTTTTTTTTAAATGAAGTCATTGAACTAAGCAGATTGGGCAAAATCAGTGTTGCAAAGATAAGTAATGACATGCACTTGAGAAAGTCACCTTGGACATCGTTGCCACAGTTTAATAAAAAAGAAAACTGAATAAAGAAAATAATTGTGCTGGAAAGAGTAGAAACAAGCATGAGAACGATCCAGGCTCTGCTCTGAGCTGCCAGGGAGCAATCTCTTCTCACCCTGCGTGGCAGAAGAGCAAAGCACTGGCTGTCCCTGGGGCTGGGAAGCTCAGGTTGGGAAATGACCCATGCACAGGGCACAAACGAGTTCAGCCTGCCCCACACTGACCAGCACCTGCTGCCCTTGGAGTAAAACCAGCAGGTGAAGACCCTGCACTGCCTCAACACATCTCTGCTGCTGCATTCAGATGAAAGCACAAAGAGGAAGGTAGATAGGAAAAGAGTGAGAAAATCCCAGACCTCTCCCCTGCTCCTTCTAGGCAGGGTCACAGCAGCTACCAAGCACCTCATTCAGAACATGGCACCTGTGAATGCGCCTGTCACCACTCTGGCACACGTTTACAGCTCCAAAAAGACTAGAGCCTCACCATGGAGACCGTAACATTGTTTTCCTGCTGCAGCATGGCCGAGCTGAAGAGAAAATCTGCGTTCATTCTCAGATGCCAAACTCTTTGTTCTTTCCATGAAACCAGAGAGATAATCATGCTCCAGAGCCCTCAGGCTGCCACAAGGCTCCCTTTGATCACATACATTTTTGGGGGTGGAAAACAGAGAACAGCAGAGCCAGCTGCCTCAGCAGGAACCTTGCAAGAGCATCGGTAGCCTCTTGGCTGAGGTTTTCTGGAAAACATGCTCACCACCCAGAGCACCATCCCCTGCTGTCCAGGATCAACCTGCAACTAGCTGGGCATTATCTCTACCAATTTAACATTCAGACCTTCTCCTATCCTTACTTCTTGTGCTAAGCTCCATAGAGCAGGGGAGAAGGTGCAGCTCTTCCACTAGGACTTGTGACCAGGAGATAAATCAGAGGAAGGAAAGGTTGTTGTCCCTGTTGCCTTGGCTGAAGACTTGAGTCACATCCCACACAGCCAGTCCACACCAGGATGCAGACCCTGGCCCTCCAGCCACCTTTACCACATGAGTAAAGGGGCTTCACAGGGGCCAGACACAGCTCCCACTTGCTCTAACCCCAGCAAACAGGACTCAGTGTCATGGGGTGTTCACCTGCAGTATAAGGACATCAGTTGCTTGTTCCTTGTGCCTGTTAAGTTTCTTCATAAGAAAATGCATTTCCAGCTGTGTGTCTTTAACCTGATTTTTGTTCTTCACACAACAAAATCCCAAACTGCTGCAGAGCTTCTCTTGGAGGGGAGAGAACCAAAATTAAATGAGCTGGAGGTCTCTACCAGGTGCTGGCAGAATCACAGCAAGGTCACCAGCAAACTGAGGAGCCTTTGGTATCCAGACTGCTCCAAGAAGCACTCATGGGAGATAGGGAGCAAGGAGAGGGTAGGAGGAGAGGGAGGAAGGGTTGGGTGAGTTTGTCCAGGTCTCCAGTGCTGTGGAGACAGAGGAGAGATGGGGAGGGCTTCACTGAAGGAGTGAGCTACCTCCTACAGTCAGTCTCTTCCAGATAGATAGGAAGGAAGGGCACAGACACGGACCCCAGAAACATCCCAACAGCAATACAGGCAAGGAAGCTGACCTCCACTGCCTCAGACCATCAGAGCTTGCAGGACCTTTGTGAAGAGTCACAAACAACCTAGAACACTGAGTCATGCTGGGGCTGAAACATTTCAGGCTGGGGAGGGCTATCCCAGCCCCAGGGAGGGGCAGCTGAGCCCATGCCTCCTATGTGTGTATCACCTAAGCCATTCCTGGAGTTCTACCCACTGGAGACCCTCCCCAGAGAAGCTTGCCCGAGGTTTTCACGTAAGTGCTGATACAGCATCTTTCCTGAGCAATCATTTTTACTCACTACATTTTTCCCAGCCCACAGGCACTGTGAGAAGCTTTCCATCTTTGAGACCCCAGTACCATTTTCAGGTCATGCTCTGGGACAGTCACCTCCCCTCTTGCTCTGCCTGGTAGTGCCAGCTCCCTGGATGGAAGCAGGGGATTGCTCATGCAGCAGGGCAGGGAGCAGCACCTGCAGGTCCTTCCCAGCCACCCCCACTGGGGGTGAACCATCTCTGATGGTTCATGCCCCACCTCTCTACTGCAGCAGAAACAACTTCTTCAGCCCAGGATTTTGCTCAGTAAACAGGTTTTGGAGGCTGGTTGCTGCACCTGCCTGTTAACATCAATGGGAGTCCAGTTAGCTCTGCATGAGAGTGACAGATGGGAAAGTTGCTGGTGTCTTTCTTGAGCAAGGGGACATTGAAATGCAACTGACAGAAGAAATTTAGGCATTGTGGTGGTGCAGCTGTAGGTAAAGCTGGGCAATACCTGCTCCAGCTCACACTACTCCAATTGAGTGCCAGGCAGGGCTGTCCTCATTTTCTCAGCCCTCTACCACCTTTTGGAACAATCCTGTCTTGTCCTCAGGGGGCTGCACCGCTCAGCCCCTCATCCAACCCAGTATGGATGGAGGAGAGCCCAGCACCTGCCCCACTCATCCCCAGGGATGCTAGAGCAGGCAGGTGGCTCTGTGCCACCCCTGCTTTGACATTGCCTTCTCTGCCCCCTGTGCTCACAGCCAAGCCCAGACCCTGCAGTCCCGGTGCACTCACCTGCCTGACGGTGCCAGCCGGGTCCCTGGGGCACGCAGTGCTGCTCACAGAGCCACCAGCCCAGGGATGCACATCCAGAGCTGCTCCCACAGGCTAGGGGAGCTGTGAGCCCCTCCTGCCACAGGGCCCTTGTCCCCCTGCCTCACCCCACACTGCTTCTCATTGCGCTATTGATGAGTCCTTAATGAGCTTTGCGCTCACGTCCACTCAAATCAACACCCTGCATGTCGGGGCTGTGGGGAGGGGGTGGTCCCACAGCCACTGGAAAATCACAGCCAGGGGAGGGGGGGGTCCCACAGCCACTGGAAAATCACAGCCACTGGGAGAGGAGAGGCTCCAAGGTCATGGGCAAGAGGGAGGACAAAGCAAAAGGGCCTGATGCCAAAGAAGGGGGAGCCATCCAGCAAGTTGGTTGCAAGGGGTTGGTTGAACCCATATTGCTGCAGCAGTTCCTGCAAGGATTTATTGTTCCTGAAAGGATCAAGTGCATTACTGGCTGTGGGTCAGGATTTTGGGATGGAGGGGTCAGCTGCAGGAAAATGGATACTTCTCATTTTGAAGTAAGTAGGTACCAACCACCAACCAAGGAAAGGAGCCACATGTGAATAACTGGTTGCTTAGTGTGTAAAACTTGTCATTGGCTCAAAAACAGCTTGTATGGAACCTTTATTTTCTTTTCCTTTCTGGGGCCCAAGATAATTTCCATCCACTGGGAGTAGGGAGAAGTTGCTCTCAAAAGCAGTATGGGGGAGCTGCTGATGCTGTGAGCATCACCTTGTTAGAGGCAGCATTGACAGAGGCAGGGGAAGGAGCCCAAGTGAGCTAAAACATAATTCTCCCCAGAGATGGCACCTTAGCACTTCACCAGCTCCTCTCTTTGTGTTCAAATAGAGGTAGGGATGCTTAAAATGACAAAAGTTCATTTAGTGGTTTTCAATGCTGAGGAGACCAAGGTAATACCAGAGATTTCATTCCTTGCTATCAAACCTCTCCTTCTTTATAGGTCGCCCCCTGCTCCCTTGGATCAGGCAATAACCCATCACAGCTAATCCTGACACAGCCCATGGGCCAAAGTCTTTGTCCCCTAGGGATAGGAGGGAAAACCTGCTGCCTTAGAGCTTTGTTGCTGCTCGTGCTGCCACCTACATCTGTGCCATTATCCTGCCAACAGACTATGTTTAAAGTTCACATTTCAGACTAAGTGGTCACTGGAGGAGCATGGAGGAAGCAGTAAGACCCCCATCAGGCTTTTTTGGCCCTTAAAGGAGAAAGACAGTGGTGCTAGGAATGCTGTCAAGAGGGAAATTGGAGAAAGAAAATTATTTTTACTGGGTAAATCCAGGGGGCTTTGAGAGCTGAGTGGCTCTCCAGCACACACACTGGAGGCATCCTGACAAAAAGGCATCCTCTCTGACCTGAAGCAAATGCAATGAGTGGCAATCCCTTCTATAAGAAAGCTATGGGTCTGACAGAGCACTCTCATCCCTCTCATCTTCAAGGAAGCTGTGTCCCCCACTCCACACTGGGAGCTTGAGTACCTCTTATTTAGCAGTACCATTTTCAGGTTCTTAGCTGGGATAAAAAATCAGCCAGTGAACACGTGCTGCCTTTGCTCCCTAGGAAACCCTTCTGTATTTCTGCAGTTGAGCACAGCTTGCACTGGCCAGACCTGCAAGCACAGGGAGCATGTAGTGCAGAACAGGGTACCCATTATTGCCCACCATGCCAGGGAACACTGCTGGAATTGCTGCCAGCTCAGTCCCACAGGGACAAAATCAAATTCCTTCCAGGTGAACTAAGGTTCCCATTGTCTTGGAGAGCTTTTTCTGTGGTGGTAGGGCTGGAACTAGAAGGTCCTTTGGTCCTTTCCAGCCCAAACCATTCTATGAAGTAACTCTTGCTGGAAGCAGAGCTGGCAGAGGCATGTTTGTTTCCCTGTCTCCCGGGAAGTGTGCAGGCACAGCCCTGGATGTGCTGGACCATGCAGGAGGCTCAGCTCTCCCTCATCTGCCCAGCTTGCTTTGCAGTTGCCACAGAGATCAAGTGGGGTGGGGGCTTTTAGAATGCAATGCTGTGGGAGATTGAGATTTGCTTCAGCCAAACCAGCCAAATTAAAGAAGGTACCTGCAGGTAGTTTCAGAGTGCAGCCAGCAGCAAAGCTCCTGCCCCCTTTTGTCAGAAAGAGTGAAGGTTCAGCTATCAA